TATATGAGCCTACTCCCAATTTCCCCAAAACTAATTGTTATTTCTCTTAATAGACCTAACTAAAAGGACGATTTAACTAAGTAAAAGGCTTTTGCAGAATTCAATAAACTGAACGAATTACAATAGTGTTTTCAAACGCGATTTAACTAAGTAAAAGGCTTTTGCAGAATTCAATAAACTGAATGAATAAATAGGAAATTCCTTCTATATGAGCCTACTCCTAATTTTCCCAAAACTAATGTTTATTTCTCTTAATAAACCTAACTAAAATGACTCCCAAAACTTATGGTTATTTCTCTTAATAAACCTAACTAAAATGACGATTTAACCAAACTAAGTTTATTTCTCTTAATAAACCTAACTAAAATGACGATTTAACTAAGTAAAAGGCTTTTGCAGAATTCAATAAACTGAATGAATCACAGTAGTGTTTTCAAGGCTTTTGCAGAATTCAATAAACTGAATGAATCACAATAGTGTTTTCAAATAAGCTTTTGCAGAATTCAATAAACTGAATGAATCACAATAGTGTTTTCAAATAAACGAGTTTTTCAAATATATGCCAAATTGTCCAGGTAAATTTCATAATTAGCGTTGCATGGTCTTCGGCGGCTACTGTAGACATGAATTGAACCGTGCTTTTCGATCGCGCAAACGTAGCGTATAATAACGGGATGGTATATGAACGTGTTGTTTCATGGCGATGGATTCTGACAGCCAGGCCTCCAGTATTTTTCGCCCGTTTTATTACTGGCTCGCGCCATTGTCTGCGTGACCGTGATGTTGAATTCCTGGCCTTCCACCAAGGTGTGGGTAACGATCTGGGACAGTGGATCGCCTTTCTGCACTGCTTGCTTGTGTTCCGTTATTCGCCAGCTAAGTTGTTGCCTGGTCTACCTTGTATAATGGCAAGAATAGTCGCGACATTGTCCTTGATAAACGATGCCAGACTGCTCACTTACCTCTAGTAGGTCTTTTATTTTTATGATCCACGAACGCATGGTTGCTGCCGGACGATACACAATACCTGCGCCGAGCTTTGGAACGATACGTTTCGTTGCTATTGACACGTTCATTATGTACGGTTGAGGGGGTCAACGCGTTGGTGAATATTTCGGTTTATTCCCCGTGGGCGCGTGCGGAGGCAGCGGCTGACGAAGCGGTTTAGCTATCCATTCCTTGCTACTTGGTCCTGAGGATGCCATAGTTCTCACACTCATCCCTTAGGTTCAATGCAATGTGCTCTATGCTCTGAAAGAATGCTCTAACGCAGTCGCGTTTATGCGCCATTGGGTGGTTGCTATAAAAGTTGAGTACCTGGGTTGGGTTAGTCGCCCTTTCATATACCGTGGTGCTTAGTTGTCCACTGGGTCTGCATGTGACGAGGACGTCAAGGAAAGGCAGTTGTTCGGTATTCTTTTCTTCCCTTGTAAATAAGATGTTGGGGAAGATGCCGTTAAGGAGGTTTTGGAAGTCTGATAGCCTGCTGTGTTTGATTCTAGCGGAAGCGTCGTTCCCATATCGTCACCCAAATGCAGGTTCAAACTGCTTAAAGGTGACTTTTTACAGCTCCTATAAGACCAGTTCTGTGATTAGACTCAGTATTGGGGAACCCTCCGGCGTCCCTTCAATCTACCCGGATAATTCGTCGTATTTCTCTTTGAGTCGTTTGCGTGCCATGTGCCATGTCCCGTTGTATAAACGGGAATAATCAAACAACGTCAAAATATGCCATGGTTTGATCCGGTTGAACCATTCTTCCCCGAATAGTGGCCAGAAATTGCGAGGCTGAATTGATTGAGGTCCTCGGGCCCTCCGGAGGAAGATTAGTTTTCGTGCCATCCACTTCGATAGGTTGTAAGTAGGGCTGCCTTTCAACCCTACGATTGGCCGAAGGGGATCGTCGGGCTCGTGGATTTTGAGCAATCCATAGAACCGGGCCAGTGTCGTATCAGTCGGATTATTCTGCCAGCATTCTTATTGCGATAGCAAATTGGTGCGCCGGAGTCGGTTCAGGAGTCCACGGACCCAGATCGCTATCCACACCCTGGAGGAAGGCCACGAAATTAATTTCAGGGACATGCGGATAATGGCACGAGCCAGGAATGAAACGGATGAAGAATACTGGAGGCCTGGGTGTCAGAATCCACCTCCATGAAGAGGCACATAGATATACCGCCCTGTCATTGTGCCCTGCGTTCGCGCGACCAAGAGGCACGGCCCACTTTATGTCGAAGGACGCCCGCCGAGACGACATGGAGTGACGACTCAATTATTCACTACTTCTATCCCTCCCACTCCCACCTCCCATTTTCTCGTAAATGGACTATAAAAAATGCCAATCCTTGCTGTACTCTCATTTTCTCTGAAGATCACCTTTTGTACGGGTCCGACAGCTCAGACTAATAAGAGTGCTGTACCAGTGATCGCACCTTTATCTTTTTTGGTAATGGTACTCTCTGTAAACATTTAGTGATCCTATGGAATTCTCACCTTCCTGAAACCGCGAGTTCGCAAAACGAAAGGAAACAAAAGGAAGTGGAATCATCCCCTCAAAAATATAAGAACCAACATCAAACACACGAACACTGTGCACGTTGAGAGCTGGAGAAACAGATTCTGCATAAGGATTTAGGCGGGTGGACTCCGAATAACGGAGTATTTGGGCAAAGGAAGGATTGCAATGTAACATAATTTCAGATAGTTAGTCCACTTTTAGGGCCAGTAGGTCACAAAACGAAAGAATTGGTTGGATGTCCTTCCCAATCAGATGGAAATGTTATAAAAGTCGCTTCCACCCAATGCATACCTAGCAAAGCATATCGAGCGTTCCTGTAATATCTATCAAATGCGTTTTAAAACTAGCGTGACTCATAGTGGCTGTATTTAGGAGGTTGGGTAGGCCTTGAGTAGTAGACACCTAGGCTCCCGATGAACGGCAAGCTTGGTACTTAAGTTAATTTAAAACACGCTAAATTGTCTTCTATCTGTAAATTAAACTGCATACACTAGCATGTCACTGAGCTTACTTTGGAATGTCTACTTGATTTCAAACACATCTTCATCCTAGTTATCAATGGCGGTCTCCGATCATCAAAAGCAGTGGAACTCCATGGTTTCCGGTCTGCCACAGGAAGCATACGGCTCTGGACTTCAACTTCCTCTGGCTGGAGGTATTTTCCTTATTTAGTCACTTCCATCTAGACTTCAGTTTAAATTATCCAGATAAGTGTTGCATTCACTGAGAGGAGTCCTTAGTGTTGCATCGCATTCCTATAAAGTAAATATGTTATTTTGTCCTTTGAACGGAATTGCGATGGATAGCTACTAATTAAGCCCCAGAATACGTCAAGCTAGCAATGAAGATTGGACCACCGTAACCGACGATGTTCACGTCATATTCAACGGAGCGGATGTAGACACGGTGATTGGTGGGTGAATCAGTTAATGGCGGAGCAGACTTGTAAAACATCTACTGCATCCGCTCTTCTCTTTCGCTCACCTTCCGACGCTTGGGCAGTTTCAATAGGACTGTAGGTGGTTCCCACCGCATATACTAGGATACCGTTACGGCGTCTCTGACCACTTTAAGAAGGCACCATTTTAGCCTAACCTACGCTCACGTGAAGGAGGCCTATGCCTCGTGAGTTGGCAATCGTCTTAACCACGACTCTTATCGGGTTGCGATAGATTCAAACGCGTCAGCGTCATTATAGTGAGGACTGTACTGATGTGTTGTGGATGAGGGATTTTAAATTGTCAACTTATACATATAGACTAGAACTGACCAAGACAGTGGAGACCGCAATGGCCATTTCTGACTTATTAGCCATCATTAGCCAGACATACCCAATCCGAGGTGTGGATCACTCGGGATTTGAACGCAAAACCTTTAGTCATTGAGTGCAACACTCTACCATTGCACCCTGGGTTCGTTGCTTTTGTCGGCTGCGATCGAGAAAATGACGGAGGTACGATGCTCACCAACCTATCTGATTAGGAAACATACTCATCTCGTTGTGCCTGAAAGCTCGTTCTAGAAAATGTTCCCGGGTGATCCAGGCCTGCGATTGGGTATGACTGCCTGATGACGGCTAATAAGCCAGGAACCCTCATTTCGGTCTCCCTTGTCTTCGTCGGTTCTACTGTATCATATGCTAGAAGTCGCTAAGGACTGATAGGATTGGTGGCCTTGGCTAACGTAGCTTAAACGTCTACTTCTAGCGTATTCCAAACACACACATGTAGGGCAGTGGATATTTGGTTCGCGCAAACCCCGCACGCGTTGCGCGTCAGGTTTACCCCTTAGATATTCCGAAGTCATAAGAGGATCGGTTCTTTCGGATAATATAAACGTCTCGACGAATAACGTTTTCATGAATTTCAGGCCAATGCATATGCCTAACTATATTTCCACTCGACACAACATAATCAAGTACTAATTGCGTGAATGGACAAGTACTCACGTAAGCGTGGTTGGTGTAACATCATGGAGCGAGAAAATTACTAAGGTAACTTGTTGCACAACTGTGTTGCTTTTAAACGCCTTCGGAGTCCTATTCGGCCCTTTAACCTAATTAGTTGCAGAGTCCAGCAGGTTCAGTCCAAAGTCATTTGTAGATCAAATACTTCGGATATGGAACCCCTTATTTTCGCATTTTTTAAGGTCTGAGAGTTTCCACGCCTTATCGTTCACTTATCATAACGATGCACGCACCAACTTCCATGCTTCATACTGCTGGCAGTCTAAATGGATGCGTGCCGTTACAACGGCTATGTTGGATACATGCTGAATCAACACGGAAAACAAGTAATAGCACGGCACGTATTAAGGAGGCTTTGTAGAGTCCGCAAATCTCAGAATAAACGTCACACATGGACAGAATGCCTAGACACAGGCTCAGACTCTGCCAGCCAATTATGCCCAGTCCTGCTGTCAAATGACTGATCGGCTCGAACGGCGTAATAGTGGGAACTGAAAGAGATAATGAAGTTGACTCTAGGCGCCCCAATTCAATGATACTTCCGCACGTTCCTCACTGTAAACAGTCTGAAACCTATTGAAACTATCATGATAAGCTAAAATGTGTGGCTTGGGAGGCTGCGAATTGAAGAGATCACTTGGTGTTCACGCGACCGAAAAGTCAGACCATAATATCTTAATTATAATGTAGTCCGAATGACACTTCCACGCATATGGGATCCGAACCGCCCACTTTTGTGAAAGTATCGAAGCTTTTGTGGAACTAAGTCGTGTGCGACACGCATAGCCGGGCTGGTTATCATGGTTACACATTGTGGCCGAGCCTGCTTTCTGTGGTCCTGATTCTGTCCTGCCACCGGACATAGTAGCTTATGGAAAGTACATTATATCGAATGCTGCGCAAGCTTACTACCATCATAGACTTCTTCACAAGCAAGCCACTGTCTTGCATCCAAAGACCCGTGTGGAAAATGATGGGCATTTTCACTCGCGGCGGTCGGACTGTTGTCGTCAAACGTCCCTTTCCTATTACATCCAACCAGTCCTTTAATCCTTTTCGACATATGTTTAACTTCAAAATAAAATTAGCTCCTCGGGCGTTTGTTAGTGGTGAACAGGGTCGTTAGATTGTTCGTTTTATGGGAGCAAGCAATTTCGATCAGTTCCTCCTGTTGCCTGTACAACAGTACGCAATTCTGTATGCATGGCCACTTTCATCCTTTTCGTTTTATTTGCTAATTCCTAAATTCATTCTACAAAAATCATTTTAAAAAACTTATATAAACCGATGGGATGCAAAATCATGACGGCAGAGAAAAGCCCTTGCTGCAGCCAAGGCTCTAACCCCCTGAGTTACAAAACTCCCTATTAAGTTAGCCTTCATTATAACGGAGTCGTTTCACATTCGCCGTAGTCTGTCTTATGTAAAAATCTATTAAGATGGGAATTTAAAAAATCATAAACATCAAACTGTCGGTATATGTGAATATCAAACTGTTTTTCTATAAGCTCAAATATTTTATGGATATTTGTATACGTTTCACGTTTGGAACTTATGATATTTAGGGACATGATGTGCTTGTATAGCCATATAAAAGTGCGTTTAACTGACGCATTCACACTCTTTTTATAAAAGATTACACTTCTTTACCTTTTTGGTTAGCGGGAACTGGCGATCCACTTTTTGATAGCAATTACCAAGAAGCAAGAGACAATGCAGAATTTTATCGCAACCAGTTGGAGATGCTGCGCGAGGAAGTGGACGATCAGAACACTAGAACTAGTCAACACTACGAGGAAAAGGTATAACTATTTAATGTAAAACCCAGTTTTGAAGTCATGACTTCATTATTTTAAACAGTGTATGCATATATATATTGGTAAAAAGTAAGTTAAATTAGAGGAGTGAACACAGAGCCCTCGAAGCTACCGTCTACGTAAGCGTTTACATTAAATACCCGAAAACATGAACGGACTGAATAAAAGGCGTCTTTATAATGAAATTAAGTGGACTTTTACCATTTCAAGGTACTGCCGGTGACTTTGAGGTCAAAACAATGAGAGAAATAGTTTAACTGCTATCGTGTTTACTTGGACAGCATCTCTTCTATCAATATGCATTTGGCTATCTTCAAGGGAACACACCATTTTACGTAAATTTAAGCAATGATGTGGCATAAGAATGAGCTAAGGTTACGATAGACTCCCTGTAGTTCGACAGCGAATATTCTCTTTTCTTCCAAAATTTATATTTCTACTGTTGATTAAACGTTTTGGTTTAGCTCGAATCCTATCTGCTCAAAATTTTAAAAATGACTTTCCTCTCTTCAGATCGGTACCTTGTCTGAACGCGTTGAGCACCTACAAAATCTGCTAACACAGGAAAACTTCCGAGTAGAACGTCTAAATGGCGAATTAGAAATGGCAAATTCGCAATTGAACGAGGCGCACATGAACGAAGCTAACCTCGAGAATATGGTTAATGAACTGAAGGCGGCTTTGAAACGGAAGCCTACTTACTCAACTAGCGAAGGTGCACAAACTCCAGGATCTACTGATATGCCCCTCATACAGGCCCATGTAGTGGATACTCAACGGTCCGCTGTTCCACCAAGTCTGATTAACGGGGAATCGAACGAGGTCAGTGTTTAATTACATTTAGTTTAGTGGCACTACTTAAAACATTTCAGTAACATTTATTAGCTGCTTATTTGCTGTTTGTAGGAGGTGGCAGCAGCACCGGCAGAGCAAAGTGCACAGGCTCTTCTGGATAGCATTAAGAATTATTTCCTAATGAATCAGGAGGCTTACGATGCCATTAAAAACACTCCCCTTGCAAGCGGAGGACAGTTGGACATCTTCGCCAACAGACAGCAGGAGCAGTATGCCTCCGCTCCATTCAGTCCAGAGGGCAACAGCACCTACTTCTCACAGCCACGTGTTCAAAAGTACCTAACGACACCTGACCAGTCCATGAACTCCATCTTCAACTCGCAGACACATGTGGAAAATTTCAATGTTGCCAAACTCTCTGAAGAACTGCAAGAAAGAATTGAGGCCTTGCAGGTGAGCTTTTTTGGCTGCGACTTGGGTTGACCCTTAAAAGAGCTGTTCCTGCATGTATAAACTGACCCATGCATTGCTCCTTCCCAGATCGCGAGGGTTTGATTGTAGAAGTTTCCACGAAGAGCGGAAATTCAAGATCTTACAGCGATATGTTTTTATGGTTATTGTCATATATTTTAAGTCGTTATAAACTCTTGCATATCCTTGTAAACAGTACGCACACAGAAGTAGAAGGTGCGATCGCTGGAACAAAAAGTTTATTAGCCTAACGTTTTTGATTCTTGCTCGAACCTTTAATCAGAGACAACTGCAGAAAAGGGGTGTAAAATTCAAAGGTTGCGCATAATGTAAAGTCCGTACAGGCCATGTGACTACATGTATCTATTGGAAGTCCAACGCTCCTACTGTTGAATCACGGGTTCGTTGTTCTGTCGGTTTCAGTCCGGTGCCGCAACACCCGGGGTTAGGTATGGCTTGCTGATGACGTTTAGTAAGCCAGAAATGACCATAACAGTCCCCTTTTCTTTGTCGGTTTTATTTTTCTGCTTATACATGTTTATACATACCCATGAGCTCGCGACGTTTTGACCAAAAGATCTACGGACTAAAACTTGATCCACGAGCTCGCTGTCTTGCCGGCTCAGATAAGAAATATTGACACTCGTTGTTGAAAGTTCATCTATCTCTGACAGAACGCGTCCCGTTATGCCTTGGGGCTGGCTCCCGAGCTTAGCCAGCAGCCGCTAAACGGCAAGCATATTATTGGCAGAAATACATTACTTACAAATACAAGGGAGACTAGAATGGCCATTTCTGGATGATTAGTCGTCACCAGCTACCTAACCTTAGGGATGGTGATCCCGGAAGCTCGAATCCGTGACCATTTTAGTTAGAACTCTACCACTCTAATCGCTACGCCACGAGCTCAATTCAATGCAGGTTTCGATAGGAACAACACACAATGGTAGATGTGCGCTCATCGATCGGCTACAGAGATCATTCTTACAGTTAGGTAGCCACGAAAATCGAAATGAACTATACGCAGGCATTACTTTATGCCGCTATACCAGCCGCCATTCTGATTAGCCAACCCTCGTTTGGACACTTATCGCGTGTTGACAGGAATGTGCATTTTCATGGGCTTCCTGCAGATCTGCTTCGGCTGCGAAGGTGATACTATTCATTTCTCTTCTGCTTCACGTTTTTTTCAAAAACAAAAACCCACCTTCTAAGCAAAATATTTAGGCAAGCATTTTGTTCTTTTCTCACAGCAACAACTAGAGGAAGAGACGGGCTACCGGGATGATCTGGAACTGGAGTCTCAGGAGATGCGCAATAGAATTGCAAACTTAACACGCCAGGTGCGTCGTCAACGTGATGAACATGAGGAGGAAATGCTTGAGAAGGATCAGGCACACCTAAAGAAAGTGCGGGAACTCACAGACACCGTCGAGGATCTCGGGAAAGAAAAGGCCCTCCTGGAGAAGCGGTGTGCAGATCTGCAAAACAAACTGGACGATTTGCGCCGAACCCCTGAACTCAGCGATGAGGAGGAGGGTAAGGCAACATGAAGTCAACCAAACAAAAAAGACAGGGAACGGCACTTTTATGCGGTAGTCCAGGCTCTAAGTTTTATTCAGCTCCCTTACTAAACGTGAATACGTTTCAATGCCTATGTAATTTGGAAGTTAAAGGAGGGAAGAACCAATTATTTCAGGTTGCACGGCCTTCGTGAAGTCAAATCACTGAAAGATAATACACGACAATGACGTTTCATGCGTGCAACTACTGCAGAATCTATTGGAATCAAAATACTTTGCAACTGCTCACCAGCTGCTACCTTCTGCTGTCTAGTATACAGCAATTTTAATTCGTACGGACATACAGTAGACGCCGTTGATCATGCAATATTTCGACATATGCGAAAGAC